TGAGTCCACTGGTTGTGGCAAGTTTACCTCACTCATAACCTTTACGTAGACATCCCTCAGAGAGCCTCTCAAGGTTACTGTCAACAGCAGATCATCTAGCACGTCCTGCTCGTGCTACAGATCCACTGTTTGTTCTGTAAATAAAGGCTGTCATTAGTTTGTATTTGTGGTAAGTTACTGGGCAACATGTTTCTGTGGCAAAAGCCAAGAAAATCTGAACCCTACACCCTGCCTTACCATGTGCTCCCTGCTGTTCTGTCAGACTCCGTTTACATCGAGGACATGGAGGCTGTGCAAAAGCTGCGGGACCTCCTCCACCAGGCCCTGCTGGAGCTGGAGTGTCAGCGGCGCCCAGACGACCCCCAGCGGGCGGGACGCCTCCTTTTAACATTGCCTCTCCTCCGACAGACTGCTGGTCGTGCTCTTACCACCTTTTACAGCATCAAGACCCGTGGAGGTGTCCCAATGCACAAACTATTCCTGGAGATGCTGGAAGCCATGATGGACTCTCCCTAGTGCAGAGAGCAGCAGGAGTAAAGAGGCTGCAGAGAAAGACCCAATAGAGATCTCGGCTTCAACAGTGGATGAGTGGTTCATGAGAAAGGAAAGTTTTTGTTATAGATTTAATAATGAGGAAAATGGTCCTTTTACCCTTTAGGCTACATGAAGAAAGAAAAAGAATATGACTAAAGAAAAACCTCATGTATTGTCTCTAAGCGGGAAAGCTTACAGTAAGATGTAAACTGCCAAACTTCAGTTAAAGGCTCCAAGATCCACGAGTGAAAACATTTAACATGAATGCCAGAAAACTTCTCAGTTTCAACTATTTTCATGGTGTGTTCCATCACAGCATCAATCTGCAGTTGCATAACCACTGAAGAACAACTTTTAGGTACCCAAGAACAGACTGCAATCATGTGGCTCTTGAACTTTTTAAAATAATGCAACATCTACTTATGAAAGCCATTATAAAATATCCGGTGAAAGACTTGAGGGTCCAGTACACGGTCAGATCAACATGCACATGGAGTGCTAGTATTCACTATAGTTTAGTGTGCCGTTGTAGGCAAATTCATAGGAATTACTTGCAATATGTTAAAAGCAATATAATGACTCGATTATTGTCTGTCACATTTAAAATATGGATAAAATGGTGAGACATCTAATTGTGTGTGTAGGTCAGTAGTTCTCCAGTCTCGGGACCCCAGGTGCTGATTTCTGTTTTAATTCAAGCTTCTAGATGAGCCTGGTTTGGGTTGGGGAGTCCAGGTGAGTAGATCTAGAAACCTGGCAGGAGAGGAAACCAGCAGCACTTTTTGGGGTTAAATACTGGAATTGGGAACCACTGGTGTACACAGCAGTTGCAGGATTCTTTATAGAAAGGTTGTGCAATTGATTTGAAGTCCAGGAGAAGTGCACGTGAAGATTGTGCACTCATAAGATGCTCTTGTTGGAAGGTAATATATTCAGTGTTGTATGTAAATCCTACTGGCACACAGAACTGGCTTCCATACAAGCAAGCGTGTGCGTACATGTGCAGTCGAAACCAATGAGCTACGCTGAGATCAGGGAAGAACACAGCTCTGACATTAAAGCCAGTGTGGCAACATCAGTGGTTAGAAAAGAAACGCATTTGCCTCATCTGCTTTTTTAATGCTGTTCTCCTCTAGATCTAACCACTACTTTTTGTCTCCAGCAGCTGTAACGGTCTGACCTATTTGATCCGGTTTATTTGTGGGCTTTAATGTATAACACTAACCCGTATGTATGATTGATAGGTTTATGATGAGATTTTGCTGCATTTTCTGCAGTAGTGAAGAGCGCTGCATAAAAGATCTCACTTGCTTCAATGCAACGTCCCTCTGTGTACGTACATCTGTTGAACTTTAACTTGTAAGTGCCCGTGAAGGGCTCAGGGCAACGAGAAATGCAACATATGCAACATCTTCCCTTTGGATGTTGAAACCTTGTCTGACAACATCCTGAAAGTCCTACTCATTGTTCAGCAGGTTTGTATACTTACACTATAAACGATCATTATAATAAGCTTTACGTGCAATGCAAAGCTACAGTGTCTGATGTCAGAATCAGATCCCTAAAAATAATCGTTATTGGCCAAAGGGGCCATTAACCTTTTAGCCATGTACAGTTCCATTTAAATAAACACAAACATGCAATTTATGGAGGAAGATAACAAAGCCAGCAAATGTGATACAAATTCCCCATTACAATTATATTTGTGCAGCTCACAGTGTACTGAAATTTGTAAAGACTTGAAACTCCTTTTTCATACATCTTCCTTCTAGGATTTAAGGGTATTTTATTTACATTGTGACGCACTGTTGTGGGTTTGGTATTGGAATGAAGCTTCCATTCATGATATTCTGAATGCTAATTTTTTTTTTGTTAATGTACGCAGTTGTGTGTTTTCTGAAGCTGATTGTCATTTAGGGATCAATTTACATGGCTCTATAGATGCAGCTGCATGGTGAGGCTACAGAGGGCTACCTCAGGAGGCAGGGCGAGCCAGATGGCCAAATAACTGTGGAGACGCATGTAATTCTTGATCTTTTGACATGTCGAGTTTAAATTTGAATATTAGGTGTGTTGAATGTCCCGCAGTTGTGCGAACGGCTGAGATCCTTTTCTTTGTTTTCATTGCTCTAAGGTGTATACGGCTCATTAATCATGCTTTATAAGACAAGGCTCCATGGTACAAAGTATCTCACACTGGGGGGCAAGCCTGCAGTTGATATGGTTTCACAGGATTAATGGTGGAGCTTGGAAACTCTGGAGGCCAGTTCAAATTGAAAACGGTTCATCTTGTAACACACAGGTGTTGCACTGTGGAGCAGGGATTGATGTATCTGGAAAAATGTGACTCTGATTCACCTGTTTGGTTTTGTTTTCTTAGGTTACAGCTCACACGTTCATGTCATCTAAGACGTTTTTTTGCTCTGATTTGTTTACTAACCTAATTTCTTGAATAGTGATCAGATTTCTGAAGCAAACAAATAAATATAGATGCCTGGGACGCACTACAGCTTTTAAAACTTTGTCATTTACATAAAGGTAAATCTTTTCATTAGCATACAGATGTTTTAGGTACGGTGGGTTAGGGTGAAGGCAGGGTCATTTGCAGTGTCACTTAAAATTATACAGTCATTTGTAGTTTCTATTAAATATGTGTGCATTAATATAAATGAGCAATACAATAAATTACCAAACCTCACACATTTCCTTGTATAGCCACAGTGTACATTTAACATTGCCAGTTATAATGAAGAATAGCTACTAAACGTTATATTATTTAGAGGTTCAAATCAATGTTTGTATTTTGAAAGACTATTTAAATGATTAAATTCTATTTTTTACTCAATTTACTGTTGTTTGTTGACACTGCTTTATTTTTGTGTGTGATATTGGCTGTGAATTTCTGTGTGTAGGCTATTTTTTCCCATTTAGATAAAAAAAAGTTTCATGTCCTTGTCTAAACATGTCCACATAAAAATCACTGTGAAAAAAGTGAGATCTTCCACTGTCTGATGCAACAGGGAGTGGATTATTGTAGGTGCTTTGTGTTGTGTAATAAAACGGACACACCACCACCACCGCATATCACTGGTCTCATCTCTCCCTGTGGATGTTTGTGTATTTGTGTGTGTGTGTGTGTGGTTTTGTATTAGATGCAGGTAGTTATTTCTGCAGGTTTGGACACTGAAGATGAGGGATGGTCCATGAAAGGTTGTGCTAAACCTAAACACTGAGCAGACTTCACAGCGGTTACTGAGCAGGAGAAATGAAGGATGATAGTAGCTGACTGTATAAACAGTTTGCCTCTGTGTGTTTGTGTACCATCACCTTTGTCTGCAGGTGTCAGTTTTGTGAAACAGCATTAGAAGCTTTACTCTGAAGGGCAAGATTATCCAGCCCAGCCTCTTTAGGATTGCAAATGAGTGTGCTTAAGTTAGGGTATTGAATAGACTCGGAATGAGCGTGGTTTATAATTAGCACTAACTGTTACAGCTAATGATGTAACCTATTTTACATGTCCACAATGCAGGTTTACTTTGCCAGATTTATGGACGGATATTTGCATGTCTGTGCTGGTTTTTTTTCAACCAGGCCGCATGTCTCCATGTTATGACACACTCATGCCTTATTGAGGAAAAAAAAAAAAAAATTCAGCGAAAAGAATATTATGAGAATAAAGTGGTAATTTTACAAGAAAAAAAAGGCATTTATATTATGAGAATAAAGTTGTATTTTTTTTTAATACAAGAAAAAAGTCATAATATGAGAATAAAAGTTCTCTCTCTTAAATTAAATCGAAGGCAACTGGACTTGTATTTGTCTGTGGAAGACGTTTCGCCTCTTATCCAAGCGGCTTCATCAGTTCATCATGTATTGGTCTCTCTAGTCCGCACTAGTCTGACGATAGAATAGATAGATAGAATAAAAGTTGTAATTTAAAAAAAGGTCATAATTTTACAAGTTAAAGTTGTAATTTTACAAGGAAAAAAGGTCATAATTTTATGAGAATAAAGTTGTAATTCCAGGTTCTGCTTTCAAGGGGAAATATCAGAAGCTTTGAAATGAGGAACGTGGAGCATCCTGTGAGGTTCTACTTTAGCAGGTTTCACAAATAAGGAGAACCTTCATCTTTCAGCATCAGGACATTGAAAAGATTGTGAGGAAACTGAGTCTATTCTGTTGTTAGACAAACAGCAGCTGCCACTGACTGTCTTTTCACCTGTTTGGTTGCTTGTAATAAAATGTTTTTTCTTTCTCGAAATTTTACATTTTTATTCTCATAATATTACGACTTTAATCCCGTAATATTGTGACTTTATTCTTGACATTTCAGATTTCTTTTTTTATCCTCAGTGTGGCCCTAACACTTCGTCGTACCATCTGCAGTTTTCCATGTAATGTTAAACGGTTTAGCCTCAGTGCACAAAGTTATCAGTCCAACAAACACATCAGACATGAAGCTTCTAGCTAGCAGATGGCGCAGTAAATAAAAAGATTTAGCAGGCCCAAATCTGGACGCTAGGTTAAGTCCCAACAGCCAAATTCGATGTGGGACAGCACTGCAGGTGACTGTAGTAAGTTGGAGTGACAAAAACGCAAAGTCAGGGTGAGGTGTGTGTGTGTGACAGGGAGAGAGAAAGAGAGAGAGGAAGAGCAGAAACGCGACTCGCCGCCCCACGTCCCACAAACCTACCGTAAGATTGTACCCACCGCTAGCACGTTAAATAGCGAGCTAAAATGCTTTCCGTTACAGCCTCTCTCACCAAAAGCACCCGTGTCGTCCAGAGCGTGAGGCTGCTACACGTCTCTTCTGTCGCCAAGATGCCAATTAAGGTAAGACTTTCAGGTGTTTAGCAACCGTTAGCTCCAAGTGCTACATGTCTAATGGCCAAGACGTGAAGGTGTTGTTGTATTTTTATTATTATTATTATTTTTTTTTTTACCGCAAAGTAGCTAAACTACGCAGTTATATCGCTGGTCTGTCTCTCTGTAGCCCCCCGTGCTAACTGTCGCCATGACAGCCGTTAGCAGGACATTCATTTGTTTCTCGTGACCGTCCTGTCGCCGCTTTAACTGCAGCTTTCTCAACACCTGCAGGACCTGATTTGAGCATGTAACAAAGTGTCAATGATTACAGTAATTGTAGACGAGCTGGTCCACTGACTGTCAAACACAGGAGCTTAACTGATCTTAAACCCTTCTGAAAGGCCTGTGTGGGCAATATTAAAGTTGTTATCGCGTGTCTGTCATAATACAGCGTTTCATGTAATAAAGCTTTTGTAAGGATAACTTTATTATTCAGTTAACAAAGGAACTGAGTGACATGAAAGCGTGTGTGTGCAGCCGCTCACATATTAGTTTAGTAAAATATCTCCAAGGGTATAACATGGTGAACGTTTAATATGTATTTATTAGTGGTTTCTTGAACGTGATAAATGTGTTATTTATTAATCCGTCATTGTCACTCTTAAATGTAGTTGAGGTATTCGGCCATTTTAACTAGAAACCTACATCTGTGTGTGTTGATGTGTCGCCCTCCAGTGGCGACGGCCCCACAAATATCAACCCTGTTCAGATTAAGTGATTATCTCTTCATTGTGTGCTACACCACCAGGCTCTAATCTGAGCATTATGAGACCTCTCACTGGAGACTATTTTAAAAAAGAAAATGTGAAATTAAAAAATGTTCTTCTTCTTTTCACATATGTGTTGTTCATATCTTTACTGTGCACTCAAGGGTTTGTATGACAGTACATAAGAAAACGTTGCCAAGTTTTCTGCAGAGCTTAATGCTGCACACAGACTGTCCCAGTTGAAGTGCACAATAACAGTATTGTTGTGAACATGCAGAGTAAGCATCATTTAAGAAGCCATTACCAGCATGTCTTAAACACATTCTGCCAGTGAGGAAAGCTTTCAGTGTCCTAAAGGGACAAAAACATTGGTATCGTTAGCTGTAGTAATCAGAAAAAGCAGTTCTACTTATTAATGTATTGTCATCTGGATCTCCACCAGGTTGGTGAACAGCTCCCCGCAGTCGAGGTCCAGGAGGGGGAGCCAGGAAATAAAGTGGCAATGGATCAGCTCTTTAAGGGGAAGAAAGGAGTCCTCTTTGCTGTACCTGGAGCGTTTACACCTGGTTGTTCCAAGGTGAGTCCGCACTGTTAACTCTGCTTGTCATGTTTGAGGCACGGTGATCTTTGTATCAGATGACCATACAGTATATGTCTCTTGTTTCTTTCAGACTCACCTCCCAGGTTTTGTGCAGCAGGCTGCGGACTTGAAGAGTAAAGGTATACAGGAGGTGGCATGTGTTTCTGTCAATGATGCGTTCGTCATGGCTGCGTGGGGAAAGGAGCACGGAGCCGATGGGAAGGTATGGACTACAGTTTTTGTGTGTGAGCAATTTCTGTGCAAAGTCTAACTGTGAAAGAACATCTGATGGCATAGTGTCATCAATCAAAGGATGATAATAATACTGTTGCTCACCCATCTTAGATGTTAAAGAGCTGTGGACAATTCCTGTCAGACATTTTGTTTGTGGAAAATAAATTGGGAGTTTCCATTTCCTCAGTGTGTAGTCCCAGCAATCTGCTGAACATTATCACAGTGTACTGGGCTGTGTGCACAATAGAAGTATTTTAGAATTACAATTTACTATTATACTCTTAATTTCACTGATATTATCTTTGTGTCTTGTGATGTCAGTCTGGGATGTTAAAGAACAGTGCATTCAGAAAGTATTCAGACCCCTTCACTTATTTCACTTTTTGTTATGTTGCAGTCTCATGCTAAAATCGTTTAAATTCATTTTTTCCCCTTCAATCTAAACTTAGTACCCCATAATGATAAAATGAAAACAACATTTTTGCAAATTTATTACAAAGAAATAAACTGAAATGTCACATTGACATCAGTTTTCAGACTCTTTGCTTTGACTCTTGAAATTTAGCTCAGGTGCCTCAGATTTCTCTTAGTCATCTTTGAGATGTTTCTCCACCTTTACTGGAGGCCACCTGTGGTAAACTCAATAGACTGGACATGACTTGAAAAGACACACACTTGTCTATATAAAGTCTATTGCTAGCAGAGGTGGCGAGGAACCCAATGGTCACTCTGGCTGAGCTCCAGAGATCCTATGTCGAGATAGGAGAAACTTCCAGAAGGACAAGCATCACTGCAGAACACTGATCTGAGCTTCATGGCAGAGTGACCAGACTGAAGCCTCTCCTCACTTGAAGACACATGAAAGCTGCTTGGAGTTTGCAAAAAAGCACCTCAAGGACTCTTTAACAACAAAATGTGAAAAAAGGTCTGAATACTTCCTGAATGCACTGTACATGAAATTCACAATGATAGCTCAGATCTTAGGAATGAGCTTTTGCTCTTTTCTTCTGCAGGTTCGAATGCTGGCTGATCCTACTGGAGCATTTACAAAGGTAAAACTAAATGTCTGGTGATATGTTAAAGTCCTATTTAAAGTATTATGACTTTGTACTCATGAGTCTTTCTCTGCTTCACAGGCAGTTGACCTGTTACTTGACAGTGATCAGATTGTGCAGGTACTTGGGAATAAGCGATCTAAGAGGTAATGATTGTTTTGCCTATTTCAGTTTTGTAGTAGCATGTGTCAATTGAACTGAAAATTTACTATGATAGTGGACTGTCCACCATTTTATTTGAGTGGGTCATGGGTCAATGATAATATCAGTAGAGTAAAACTAAGACCACCACATACAGACCACATTAGATTTCATGGCATGTTTACAGTCAAGTTTCTAGCCAAAAAGAAATGTTTTCATATTTCATGCATATCATATCTATAAATTGAGTTTGTTGTAGTTATTATTAATTATTATTTAAATTCTGGTTTAACTTTTTCTTTAAGGTGATTACTTAATTGGAGTCAGAATCATAATACACAAAAAAGTCTTTTATTCCATCAGTCTGAAGCAGTTGCACATCTGAGTCAGTCTGGCTTTTACCGTTACGTTTGAAGTTCATAGTTAAAAGTCTGTGTTTACTTCATCCTCTATTTCAGATATTCTATGTTGGTGGAAGATGGAGTTGTGAAGAAGATCAACGTGGAGCCTGATGGCACCGGTCTGACCTGCAGCCTGGCCTCCAATATTCTGTCTGAGCTGTAGGCTTATTCAGAGCTGAACAAACCCAACTGCAAACCCGAGTTATTGTAAAAGTTGCACTAACACACCCGGTCCCGACTCCTTCACGCTTCCTCCTTTTCCCAAAGATGGATGCAAGTGTCATGTAGATGCTAGTGTCATAAAACACAGCTGGAAGGTAATTAATGCGCACAACTATGACATGAACGGCACTCTAAAGGAACTTGCACCAACCTCTGTGTACTGTTATTTGTGAGTAAATAAAATCATCCCTGAAAGCAATAACTAAGGTTTTCCTGTGTGGCTCATAGTGTCATTTGCCCAGGTTCATATTTTTTTCATGTTGTGAATTACAGTACAAAAAAGACTTTTTAACCTGAAATAAGAATGCATAGAATATAAAATCAAAAGTACAACAACCACAGTGCTCAACATTGGCCATCTGAAAATGGACTAAAGTTTAATGGAACAGATGAGCTCACTGTATTGACTTAATATGAACAATATTGAAATAACTGAGTTTAATCAATTTTAAGATTTAATTTAAACTCCATTTTAAGAAGTACATTATTGCAATTATTTTTAACTGTCAACGCATGATAAGGCATTTTGAAGTTTGGCATTACACATTTGATGAAATGTATGTTGACTCATTTGCAGTATTACTTAACTTTAGAAGGCTATTTTTTGATGCGATTTTAATTTTCATAAGAATTTAGTTAATTGTATTTATGTGAATGACACTGATCTATGTGGACATGTGATAGGTCTGTGGCAAGGAAAGCTATGTGAAGAATACGCCCTTTAAAATTGTTTATGATGCTAACCTTCTCACATGCAAACGTGGGCTCTTATTGATACTGAGCTTCCTAAAGTCGGCAATATGAATTGGAAGCCGTTAGGCAGGGTTATGTAGCTGTTGTATGTGTAACAAATTCATGACATGAAGCTGGACCAGTACTAGTTTATTGGCATTATCAGAGAAAATCATGCGTTGCGGGCAGTTGTAAAGTTACTGCTTGTTACACGAGCTGGTTTGTTTATCCTGTTGGTCCACAATCGGGGGAAAAAAAACGACGGAATACGTCATGACGTAAGGACGCAGGAGGCAGGCACATTGCATTGTGGTCGGCGCCGGTGCCTGGACACAAACAGAAACTACACGGCAACTCTCGAGCTAACTACGGTAATACTCGCCCTGGATAAGACATCAAAATGTAAGTTAACACGCAGTGTAAGTAGATAAAATATACTGTGAGCAAAGCGTAGCGTGAGACGATAACTAGTACTACATTTTAAGAATGATTAGCTTGCTAACGTTGAAGCCACATTAGCTTTAAGTTGAATAGAAGGCGCCTAAATATTGAACCTCTACTTTCCTTTCTTCATAGCGCTGATTTCAGACTGTCAGACTTTCAGACTGACTTCGGCGAGTAATATTTTAGGAATAAGTGATGTGTTAAAACAGTGAACCCCGTAGTGAAAAAGTCTCGCAGGGAAACACGTTTACGCAGTTTGATGCTAGTGGACGTTAGCTCGTTGCTAAAAGCTGCTAGCACTGGAATGTATTGCGCGCGTAATTCAATACTGGGAGCGTACCGCATTAATAATGACTAGTTAATATCCCAACGAGTGTAAACAGACAGGACTGTCTAATGCGGTGGGTGTAGGTGTGGAAATATTTTGATAATAGGCAAATATTAACATTATATAAATACCATATCAGTGAAGCATTGAGCTGTGCCCGCTCGCTTACGGCTTTCAGGTTGGTTAACACATTGATAACATTAACCGTTGGATACCAATAAAATCTATCTCTATATATATTATTCAACTGTAGCTTAGCCTCATCATTCAGTAGACACAGTGTATCCTGAACAATAAAATTGTACAGTACAGTACAAAGAAATAGTGGATGTTTTTCGATGCTTTTGTTCCTGTGGTTAAAATGAAAGTGACTGAGGTTGAAGGGACTTTCAACCTCAAAGAGAAACTGGATTTTAGCTGGAGTACCAGCCACTCCCTCACAAATCAAATTCAAATCCACCAACCACTCCGTAATCACCTGCACATCTATCTATCTATCTATCTATCAAGACATATGTAGTTAAGACTTTTTGACAGACATTCGCCGAGGAAGATGTTAAGTGTGCACCGATATCTGTAGATTATTGTACACTTTTGTAATTCATTGATGGTAAAAAAAAAAAAACGGAAACAGCGGTATATACTGTTGATTGAAAATGATAATAGCAATATCCATATGTTTAATGGTGCTAAGAGAAGTATAAACTAAAGGAGAGAGAGAGAGAAAAAGTTATAGAAAAGTTACTGGCATTAGGTAGTATGATAAAAATGAATCAAGCAGAGAGACAGAAAAAGGAAGAGCTCAGTGCATCAATGGAGTACCCCTAGAAATCTAGGCCTATAGCAGCATAATTAAAGGTTGGTTCAGGACTCATCTGAGCCATTCTTAACTATAAGCCGTATCAATGAGGACAGTGTTAAGCCTGATCTTAAATGTAGTGAGGATGTCTGACTACTGAAACCAGCTTGGGAGCTGGTTCCACAGTAGAGGAGCCTGATAGCTGGAGGCTCTACCTCCCATTCTAGTTTTAGGAACTCTAGGAACCACAGTAGACCTGCGTTTAGAGAGCTGAGTGTTCTTCTGGGATAATAGGGAACTATGAGTTCTTTTAAATATGACCGTTAGTGATTTTGTAGGTGAAGAGAAGGATTTTAAACTCTATCCTGGATTTTATTCGGAGCCAATGCAGAGAAGCTACTGTGGGGAAGATATGATCTGTTTTCCTAGTTCCTTTTCCTCGTTTATGTGAATGCATCCAGTGACTGTAAAAACAGCTACAACTGCTGCATTGTTCATCTGATGTAGATGAAAATACCCCCAATTGAAAGCGAAGAGTCAGTGGCTGAAACCCATATTTATGTCCCTAATGTCCAATAAAAAAAAATACACACACATAAAATAGGGAAAAACACAATGTTGAAAGCATTTAAAAATTTTACTGTATTTTAATTTTGTGGTCTTTGTGTTGCAGCTCAGTTGTTGGTGATCTGTGACAGCCTACAAAGCAGCCATGTCGTCGACATCCCAAAAACATAAAGACTTTGTGGCCGAGCCCATGGGTGAGAAGCCTGTGATGGCTCTTGCAGGCATTGGAGAGGTCCTTGGCAAAAGACTAGAGGAGAAAGGTTTCGACAAGGTGACATACTTGATTTCTTTTTTTTAAAGGCAAATATAAGGCTAGACAAGAAAATGAACCAGTGTATGACTTTTATGTTAACACCTTAGCCAGGTTATCATACTTGTGGTAAGGTTGAAATCAAAGTTGAACTGGATTAACAGGTTTAGGTTAGGGAATGCATTATGTCAACTAGTGTCCCCACAGTGATAGTGAAACAAATCTGTGTGAGAGGTGTCTTAAGGTGTATTCTCACTGGACTGTAAGTTGTTGGACCTTCCCTTTTCCACATACCAATCTATTCATGCAGTGATCAGTGTTGAGCTCTAAAGAAATACTCACCTGTGTTGTTTTTCAAGTTCTAATTAAAACATCAGCTGCTTGACATCAGGGCCATTGATGTGTGAAGTCCTTTAACACTTGGCTTTCGATCTTAATTAGATTTTTCATTGTGTGTTGATCTATACCTCCTCAGGCGTACGTTGTCCTCGGGCAGTTTCTAGTGCTAAAGAAAGACGAGGAGCTTTTCCGGGACTGGCTGAAGGACACTTGCGGGGCAAATTCCAAACAACAAGGTGATTGCTTTGGCTGTCTTAAAGAATGGTGTGATGCCTTCCTATAAAGCATTCAGTCAATGTTTTCTACTTCTCAAGTTGAAACTGTACGTTACCTCGTCAGTGATCTTGACTCAATTCAGCCACACCATATCTATGAAGTGACACTGTACACACTGAGGTTTATTAAAGTCAACTTGTTTTTAAATTATACTGAAAGACGTAATTGTATTTCTGAAATCCTGCAAACCCCCAAATACAACTGACACACGGCCTCCTCATGGTCTGTGACATGCAGCTCGGCAGCTTCTTTCTTCAAGTTCACGTTAAATTAGGAAGTCGGGTGGAGAATCACAAAAGGTGACAGTTCTGTCATCCCGATGCGTCTCCTGTCTGTCAGCAGCCATTTGTCCTGCAGACATTTTGACTTGTCATTGTACTAAAAGCATAACTAATGACATTATTGATGATTTCTCTCCATTTAGGTTTATTATTGAGTCAGGGACATTTTGGGAAACCTAAATGTAGGCTTTATTAATGTTATTGCAACTGTGTTTGACAAATCAAAATGTCTGCTCCATACCAGAGCTGCTTATGTTCATAACATTCATTCTGTCCAAGGTCTTTGTAATGCTGCTTGTACTTTCTGTTGAGTTTTAAATTTATGATAATTTACTGAGATCACTTTTGAAGCTCAACGTTGCCAGTTTGTTCTTTGTTTGAACATGATACCTTCAGAAAAACTATTGATCTGTTTCAGTTCACCACATATTTTTCTTCTGTGTAATGTGGTGATTTACCAGCATTGTCCAGGCCAAAATTTGTACTCCCCTTCAATTCTTGGCCTTTGCCTCGTTCAGCTGTTTTTAAAGCCTTTGAAAAGTTGCTATGAGCTGTATTTTTTAAAAAGCACATACTATCACAGTTTGGTATCATATACTCTTAAATCCACCTAAAAATGTTTAAGTGATTGAAGAGGTGGATTGTTGGTTTGAAGTGTATTTCATTGCATTGAATGTGACTGATTTATGTGACACACAAAAAGTAAACCTCAAGAACTGGTGACACTGGTCTTTGCAGAAACTTTGATTTTTTTTTTTTTTTTAAATAAACATTTTGCCATTTTAACTTTAATTCCTGCTAATAAAGAAGCTAAATGACCAGACTCCCACATGTAGTCCACTCAAAGATGGTTTGACCCTGGAGATGGAAATGTATATAAATAAAGATGTTGTTGCAACAAACTCAAAACAGTCAACAAGGTCTCAGTCTGTTGCTGGTGAGACTTCAGCCTTTACAGTGAAGAACTTACCAGTCTAATAATTTAGTTTGACAGTGGTGATAATTTTGTTAGCAGTAAACAGAGGATGTATCTGCCTGAAGTGCTACAGGGTCGAGTATAACAGACATCCAGACTGGTGCGACTGGTTGTGATTAAATGTCTACCATAATGTGTGGAAATCATGGATTCTGTTGATTTAACAGAATCATGGATGCCATCCTAATCCAATCCAATAACTGATATTGAATCAGCACCCTGTTTGTCCATTAATGCTGTGCTTAGATGCTGTTGTCGTATGATCGAATGTATGATAAGCTCCAATAGAAAACGTTCTAGTATCCTGCAATTCAAAGAGTGACGCAAAACCTTTCTGTTCTGGTATGTAGAAATAAGAGCTGAGTGATTTACATCTAAACAACAAAAAGGTAAATCACTGATCTGAGTTTGCAGTGGCTTTAGATGAAGACAGAATATCACCTACACAGACTGTCAGGTCTTTACAGCTGAGCTTGATATTGTCTTTGACTGTATATCTAAACATACGATGCCTTAATGCTCATTTTAACATGTTATTCAGTCAGATGAACTATAACCTCGACAGTAGTGCATGACTAGGCCGTATCACATAATCTTCCACTCATAGATTAATGCTTGCACCCACCGGTCACCAGCTAAATGAAGATGTAACCGTTGTGTAGCAGCTGCCTTTTAAAACACTGTATTTGGCTGTGAAATTATATTGCTCTTATTATTAAAAAATAAAAGTCAAGTTTCAGACTGGGGCATGTTTTTTATGTTCATTATAGATTCAATTTTTATCAAATAAAATCACAAATACAAGAAAACCTTTGATGACAGGAGGTTTTATTTCAATGCTTGATATTCCATGGTTACGTTTTCGCCAAAGCTCCAAATTTGATATTTGCAAGACTTTGAAAACACATAAGTTCATTTCTAAAATGGTCCAGAGCAGGTGCTCCCAAAAGTTTCATCATGTCGAAGATGCTAGAAGAAGAGCAGTTTCCTTTTTTTTTTTTTTATTTTTGTGGATATGATCGAACAGAACTGAACAGTTGCTTGTGCTGTAGATGGAGAAATAACCACAGAGAAAGTGAAACCTTTAACTAAAATGGAAAATCCCAGGTCATTCTCATCTGCCCTCATTTCATGAGTAAGTAGAGACTCCGATTTTTCTGGAAACCCCTGACACGCCCCTCTGCTCTGGAGAAGCTCTGACCTGCTCAGTTCAGAATGATGATGTACACCTGTCTGTAAAGGTACAATATGACTACTTTTTTTATTTTTTGCCTTAAAGAAATAGAAAACTGTTCATGTAACAATCACAATAACTGAATAGCTGATTTTGCTTCAGTGGCTTAGATTGTAAATTATATTACCATAACCCCTGGAATGTTTTTTTTTATTTTTTTTTTTTAATTTGGGCCTGTGTGCTATTGAACTATAAAATCTTGATATGACAGTGATCAGATGCTCAGAGTTGTTGCTTAAGTTTCACAGTAGCACCTATGCACACACACACACTTCCACATCCACACTACAGCAACAGTATAGAAATGAGCAAAATGCTAAAGTCTTAATAAAACCTTGAAAGAAAGACATTATATGGTTATAATCCACTCATAAATAGTTGTCCTTGTTAGATACAAGTAACTGCCAAAACAGAGGGAAAAAATATAAAAAATATATTGATAATATATGAGATGCAGCGCTAAATGTTAATGGAGAAAACATTCTGTATACTCGTAAGTAAAGCATCTCTGTTCTGATGGAGGATGGATGTTATTACCTGCATCACCAAATGGAAACGGTGTCATCTATGTTAAATGTCATACTTAATTACCTAACATAGGCTTGTCTTTTTCTCAGTTGCCAGATCTCAAATGTAGATGTGGAGTTTATAATGGGGAGAAGTTGCAGCCCTGACCTATCAGAGCAGCATCTGACACATGTAGCACCACCATAATCCATAGACCTAATGTGGGAATTTAGTGTCCCAGTTAAATGATCCAGAAGCTGCAGGATCCCTATGACTGGAGGAGCCTGTGAAGACAGGTGATGCTCAGAAAGACCTTTTTGGCAGTTACCTGTATTATATATATATGTATATATATATATATATATATATATATATATGAGCATGAGATGTACATGTTTTCAACCAGGTGATTCTGTTTCTAAAATTTCTTCAGACTACTAGTCTGGTTTTTGGGTCTTGGTCGTAATAACCCTCACTCTGTTGATTGAGCGTTTAGGTTTCAGATTCCCATGATATTTTTGTTCTTCCCCTCTAACATTGGGACAGATGTTAGCAGTTAAAGAATTTAGTTCAAGACATTAAGTCGTTGATTATGTACTGTACATCGGCAGGTTTTATGCAAGGTTACTATAGTACATTGATGTCTTATTTCAATTGGAAGTACGTGTACACACTGTACATACATGTACATACTGTACAGTTGTACTTTTAATCACAACAATCCCTGATTTGTCTCAAAGCAGAGCGCAGAAGAATTTCTTCTCCCTGAAAGGGTTCTCTGAGGTGGGCACGGGGGTGATCAGGGGGTCGTCACAGGCGTGTGCGTCGCAGTACGCCATCAGGTCGGCTGCTGCCTTTGATACCTGGAGGAGAGGATGACCGGATTTAGAGCAGTTCATGAACACGATTACATTAGATCAGACTGTCTTCAACCATTAAACCGAAGCCAGTTCATCCTTTGATTGATCAGTCTCAGGTCAGAGGTTGAGATGCATTTAGAGACCTCAGGAAATAACCTCCTCCACTTTTAAAAGCAAACAGTTTCCCTCCTTTTAACAAGAATAATCTCAGTGATTTTTACAGATTGAAAAACTTCATCTTGGTTGTCTTTGTATTCTGAAGTAGATCTCTGATATCTCTGGCTGAGATCATTTTAGTCACAATCTCAGGTGTGGCTGCGCTGGAGGGACGAGTTGATCATTTAAATGATCAACATGTACCCATGTTACACAGGCTCACACCCTCATGAAGCCCATTAGCGCACTGTCTCAGCTCTAGTAAGGATGGATGTTATTACCCATTTGATTCCATCAGTTTTCTTTTGAATATGTTTTTTTGAGCACATGTTCATTCCTGTGTCTCGGTCTGACACCTGTGTATAATACTTCATACTAATGAAAGTCTCCATTTAAGAGCCCTCACCACTTCATTTTACACAAACGTTCTTGTGTTTTAACCCTAAGTCTGAAAATTTAGGTGTGTTTCAGTGACATGGCTCAAATTTAAAAAAAAGTTGCATTCAGAATTAAATGTGGCATGGCGATCAATTTCAATGTGTCTAGACTGATGTACTGCCATAAATAATACACAGAAAAAAACAAGATGAGAGGATGAAAATTATTGATCCATTTGAAGAAAGATTGTCTGTGGCTGCAAAGGTATCATGATACACAGGAGTAACACAACATGAGGACAAAAACAGTAGAAAACTGACTCAGAGTGGAAAGTAAAATGATTTTAAAGTGACTTTACAGGTAAAATACAGAACGTATAACAAGTCTGGTGCTAGAGTCAGAGCAGAGTCTTGTGCCTTTTTCTGACTGCTGAGCGTCTGGTTCATTCAAACAAGCTTGTTCTGGTTCAAACCTCTCACCCTGCAAACCATGAAGGTAAAATGTGACAACAGCTGAAAACTGTCTCTAGAAACATAATGTGATCCCCATCAGAGGATATGCCCTCTGCTTCATCTCTGTACTGATGAACTGTTCTTTACAAAGAGGCACGGTGCCTCTGCAAGGTGTTTTTGATGCCATCAGGAACATGAGAGAAACCAATACCATTTGGAAACTTTCCAGTGGGAAGCATTTACTTAAAGTTCATCTGAGAAGGTCACTGGTGCTTCTCTACGTCTGCAAACCGATGTGAACTATGAGCGTTTCTTCTGTCCTGTCCTTTGAAAATGTTATTACTTCACTGTTTTAACCTGCATGTGCTTTGTAGCGTTGCACTATCATGATTTACATCTGAATCGGAGGCGTTGAGCTTGTCTTACCTTTATCCTGCAGAAACTTGCCTCGATCTTCAGTTGCTCCACCAGTTTCCTGGCTTGGCCGACACTCATGGTGCTGTTCACTGGGGTGTCTCCTTTCATCCTGGCCACAAACACAACAACATTTATGGATTTGAACTCGAAGGAAACACATTTCTCCATTAGTTCTTTGTTTTCTCTTTATAATCTTGCTTGCCCGTGGATAATTGATCCACTGCTCTTTGCCCTAGAAATACTACAATTCACTTCGAATGTATTTCTAAAAGAGAAAATGATGGTTTATAGGTTGAAATAACTCATCACTTAAATGTTTATTTCCTGTTCATGCACCCATGTTCACTGATAGCAAAATTAGCTTTTCAATAGGCTACTCCATTCTAGGTGTCTGATCAAATGAACTATATGTGTTAACTCTTAAGACAATCCCTCATGTAGCTCTATTATGTAATATATGATCAAAGCTATGCTCAAAAGTTACAGTATTTTATTGCTCATGTATATATTTGGCAGGTTTGGTTGCAAAGCCAGCATGAAGCCAGACAGTCTCCAATAATCAAGTATAAATATCAGTCAATAGTGTGTCATATTGGCACAGCTGCTACATTATGTCATCATACATGGGAGCAAAAACACAGATTTATTTAAAAAAGAAACATGTAAATTGGACCAAATGGTCAGATTTATTGAACCATGGCCCACAGATTCTCCCACTACGAGCAAGAATAACCACAGAGATGTCAAATGTAGAGTGAAATAAGCACTGCAGCCGCACGGACATTGATGACATGATGAGTAAACATGCATATAACTGAAAAAAATGTGCCACACATGGAAAATAAATCAAGCCAGATGGATTTTCAACAGGGAAAAAAAGCAAAGCAGCAAAGGAGCGAATCTATTTGAACCGTTCTGGACCTTTCCCCATTGTCTTTTTCCTTCTCCCTCCATCCACCCCCTTTTCTCCTTACCCGTATTATATTCCTCTTCAGGTGCAATCTTCCCCCCTCTTCTCTCTCTGTTTTCTCCCCTTTTTTCTGCCTCTCTGTGTCCCTCTGTGAGCTTATATCTGGTGGTGTCAGTGTAGCCGGACCCCACCCCTCACAGACAACAGCCTGGATGGTACCCTGCTCTGTACAGTCCAATGCACTGCAATTCTGCCACAATGAGCACTAGATTTGTGGTAGATGGATAGGATCACCCCCTCAGCAGTGAGTGGTACCTGCCAGACGGAGGGAGGGGGCGGCCATTGGTGAAGGTTTTCTTATGAGGGTGGATTGTACCAAATCTGCTCATAGGAAATTGGGGCCAACTAGAATCTCTCAGGTTTCTCTGACATGAAGCTGGATGGTCTATGTGGTGTGTGGTTTCAGGTTTTACTGGTAAAAGACAATACACATATTGGGATGTGAACTCCAGAAGCCTGAATCACTGTGTGGCTCTGTGCCGTTGGTGATGCCCACCCTCTCCTCTGTTGCTATGGGGACTGCTGCAGTCTGGTTTAATGGTTTACATCACAGTTTAAATTGGGAAATCTCTGCTGGTTTTTACATGTATGAATGAATATGTATGAGCTACACACGATAGGAATCTCTCATTTCTTTCCTATGTGAATTCAAAGAAACTGAAATGTCAGAGTGGATGTATTTTTGTCAGTTATACGACGCTCAGACCAAACACCCTGTGGAGGGAAGAGCTCCTTTAGCGCCGCGGTCACAACAGCATAACGCCTTCGTCTTGGTCGTAACGCTGTTTGAACCAACACCAACTCTTTGTAAGCATTAACTGCTCAATAAAGATTATATTGCGGAAAATAAATCGCACTAAATCAGATGAATGCCTCACTATCCTGTGAAATGACAGTACACAGTCTCGTAACCGGCACAAGCAGTTAACGTATCGAAAACTAACCGACGCCATTTTTGCTAAGCTAGTGTCTCCGCGGCTATAATGGCGCTACGCTGACGTCTCTCTCTTCTCTTCTTCAGCGGCGACTAATCTTACAGTTTTACTATTTCTGGTAGCAAGGAGGCAGTTTCGCGTTCCAGCTAAATAGTCCTTCGCGCTTGCCGTAATATATTTAATTCCCTCACTGGGTAAACAATAATAATAATAATAATAATAACAAAACAACATATAATGACTTAAAATGTTTGAATGACAATTGTAGCTTTGTGTTTGGTGTTAAGTTTATAATAGTTAATAACAAATAACAAGAATAGTTTACTAAAAACATGACGTGGTGTCTGGTGAGTTCACTGAACAATATGAACTTTATTTAGGCTGTTTGTTTGTTAATGCTGACCAGCTGTCAGTGGTATCCATTATCCTAATATTGTGAACAGAAGCTATTGTTTATATTGTGACTTTAATTACTCCAAACTGAATGTTAAGTTAATGGAAAACAGTAAATTCAAGTAAAAAAAAAGAAAAGAAAAAGCAGACACAAAAACATGTCAAAAGTGCAGATGAAAGGACTGTACTCTAGTAAATTGTAAATTTAGGAAAAACAATGTACAATCAAATCAAGGGTGTCATAATATGCACGCCACCAACAATGGAGCCTCTCAGCTCTCACACAGAACAATTCACAGTAATCATGTTGAGAAAAAAGGGCTGAAATATGTCAGATTTCAGATTGTGTAGTGTTTCTTAAATGCACCATAAACACTTTATTTCAGATTAACAAAATAACCACTGCAGATGGACAGAAAGTGTCCCAAGGTGGATGTATTAAAAGTGGAAGCACACTGAGGCTGTTAATGTATGGAGCTTTATTTTTTCTGTGCAAGACCAAGATGGTGATGAACATGAACTTTTGCAGTGTGCTTTAAACATCACAGAGCAAAGAGCTGCATTTTTTTTTTTTTTTGCCTGTAATGACTGATTTGAGTGAGGAGCTGCTGACGAACCTCGAGGACGGCTGGATGTAAACCTTCGGCTACAGTTGAAGGACTCCATCTGCTGGATGATGCAGGCAGGTTTGGCTGCATCATCATCATCATCATGACGTGTGACGACACTAATGACAACAAGCCCACCCATAATGAACCAGTCACAAGATGTTTGAACTCAGCTCATTTTAAGGCAAATATTTATTCATTTATCCAAATTCTTAAAATAACTTGGTTAACAGAAGCAGCAGACAGAAACACGTGACAGGACAGTTTATAGAAATGTAAGGAAGGTAATTGAAAACCATGTGATTCAAGTGAACCTCTTTATGAAGATGATTTTATTGTCAGAGGTGAAATGTCTCGATCATTTCTATGATGGCGAAATGTTTGGCAGCTTTAACCTTAATAATACAGTAAATATCATTGTAAATAAACACGTGTAAACCGTCTCAAAATCTTAACCCAAGGTCCACTTGGTAGCTTTTTCCAGTGCTTTCAACCACAACACACTGTCCTCCCGAAGTGGATGGACTTTGCTCCTTTGTTACAGTTGAAACAGCTGAAACGAGTTATTGGAGTTTGGTCAAGAATTAAGTTTCACACTAACAGATGTAAACAGATGTGAACCTGCACGTGTCTATAAACAGCTAATAAATGTGTCGTAACACACTTTAAAAACCAGGTGACTCAAATTGTAAGTCTCTTAAACTTTGATTATTCACACATGTATGAAACTACTGGAGACAAATCATAATAGACGATCATAAAAATGCTTCATCACAGTTACAGTTGCTGACAAATACATTAATAGCCAATTAAAACGACCTTACTTTGACTTCCAACAATGTGTTGTAAAGCACGTATTAACGGTTTATGTACTGTAATACTGATTTGAATTACAATATTAATATATACATCACTATATCTGAGTTTCAAAACGAGGCGAGAGCACGAAGAAAAACAAACATGTCTCCCAGAAAGACTGTTTTGAGGAGAAGTTTGTGTCAGGTCTTTTCTGCTGAGCGGGCGGATCTACAGTAATAAAATGAAAACTGGTTTGAGGCAACACATTTGAGGTATAAAGCCACATTTTAATACAGCAGGAACTTGGCAGCGTTGCTTGTAATTTAAGGTTTAAGGTTTTTTTTTTTTTCTGGCACAAACTCTGAAAAACAGTGACAGCAGGTACAAACCAATACATGACTGCAAGGGCTGCGTCTAAAATACTCAGCAGATGGTCCCCAAGAGCTCCTCTTTCATCTCTGCAGGTTATACTCTGTTGTAATTAGTGTGGGTGCATGCCGTCCTGCAAGTCATTTAAAATATGCTGCTGTAATGTCAGTGTTGCAGTTGCAGAGGTAAGGTAATGCACAGGTGAAATGTGTAGAATGATAAATCACATAGATTTAAGAAAAGTCAACTTTAAATGTTTTCAATATAAAACTGATCAATGCCTCATGAATCCAGCAACGTCTCAAGCAAAGAACATAAATTGAATTTCAATTATTAACTCAGTTGTATGTTTAATCATCTATTATACTATAAATATTACAATTAATTAACTTGATTGTTAAATATAATTTTACTTAATGAATCATCCTTAATTAAGCCGAAATTAATTAGTGCAGAGGCTCAGTGGGGCCTTCAAGTCTGGAAAACTCAAAGCTGAGAAACAACAGCCGACTGTTCTCCGCTGATGTCTCACACACACGATTAAAAAGATCCGTTTCAGCGTGTGACACAAACACAGATTCATAATTAGGTAAATCTTAGTCACTGGAAAGTTTGATCGTCTGCGTAAATGGATGAAAGCTTCTTGTCATCTACCTGTGTCTCACTCGTCCGTCAGATAATCTCTGCTCTCTCAGACAAACTGCTGTGTCAGATAAAACTTGCATGCAGCAGATAATGCAGTTCACTGCCTCGAGGTTGATGTCAATAAATATCGAAACAATGTTGGTAAAAGATTTTCATTTTAAACCATTTGGGCCATTGATTCCATGATGGGACCCGATGGTTAACAGACACTGAAATGCTGGACGTGTTTCCAGCTCAGCAACATCAGTCATATTGATATTGAAGATGCATCGTTAATGTCTGATGACTGGAGGCTTCATAACAGATCTGCTGTAAATATTCTCCAGAATGAACATTCAACCGCAGTCAAACAGCCGCTGTAATAAGCGCTGGGTGACGTGTTGCAGGCGATCATGCAGCGGTGACTGATGAGCTGCATTGTGATTGTCCAGTGGACTGATGATGGTGGTTTGTGATTTCTTCTTCATCAATGCAAAGCAGTGAATCAATGAGTTACACCAGAGACTGAACACTGCAGGAAGTGACAGCAGATGTGCTAACAGCTGTGATGCTGATGCATGCCGACAAAACATTACTATGGAATAGAGCTGCACAATTAATCGAAATATAATTGAAATCACATATGGCCAAATGCAAATATCCAAATCTCAGGAGCTGCAGTTTTGTGTCACATTATTGTCGAGTGTTGGCACCATCAGCGTTGTGGTGCTACAGAGACACAAATCATTTTCTCCAGACATAAAGGAACATGTTTGTTTGGTACAAAACAAACAAAGTGAGCAAAAATCACATCATCATCATTTTTATTCGTTTTTTCAGTGAAAATTCACAAAAAACTATAATTCCAACTGATCACAATATCTGATCATATTAATCAATATGATTTTTTTGCATATCGTGCAGTCCTACTATAGAATCATCCAGGATAATCTCCAGCTCTTGTTGCATTAACTCTATATGAATTATTTCAGAATCAGATTGTAGCTGACAGATTGTTTCCTATATATTACTACATGGTTTTGTCTAGTTCAGTATGTTTTGGAGGAAATGTCATTGCTGCAGTTTGCAGATATGTTCTTGAATATTTTGTGACTTTGTAGATATATTTATAAACTATTATCACCTCCTCACGGTCGTATCCCTCCTCCACATCCCTGTTAATCCAGAGTCACAGGAAATATGAAACATTTGTGTGAAAGTTTGTCATAATTGCTGTGAAGTCTTGAGTAATGGCCAAAACCGTGTTTTGTGAGGTCACAATGACCTTTGACCACCAAAATCTAATCAGTTTGTCCTTGAGTTCAAGTGAAGGTTTGTACCGGATATGTAGAAGTTCTGTCAAGATGTTACTGAGATATTGCTTTCACGAGACCAAAACTGTGTTTTGTATGGTCACCATGCCCTTGACCTTTGACCCCCAAAGTCTGGTCACCATCCTTGTGTC